ATGATCAATGAAGATACTGACAATCGCAACATCTTACCATGGACCCTTTAGTTTCACGGATGACCGCCAGACCGGAAATGTGCAGTGAAGGTATATGTTACGTTGCATTGTCGGACACTTTGCATTGTAAAATTCCCCGTTTGTTATGCAAACTATCCCAGGTTGCAACGCGCAGCATATCTTCACTGCACACATGGCACTTTGTGGGTCCATGTTGACTCAATCGGCCTAGAGCAAGGCTACATAGTAATATATTGACAATTTTTTTCCCAAAGAAACAATATTACATATACATGTATACTTAATAGGCCTACTTACTTTATTTCATCTCAAGGCAAAGAAAAGTAGGCCTACGTGTATGTACTTCAAAATTATCATTCCTTCATTATGTTATAACTTATGGGAAAAAAATAAGATAACAATAACAATGCACGGGAAAAAAACGCTGCCAAGAGATGCAGGGGCACCAAAACTATAAGAAAATATGAAGACTTTTGAAACAAACTTTGAAACGTTTTCTCCATCGGATGTAACCCAGTCATTGTGTCAGTAGGCATCTAACACAGTTAGACAATTAAATTATTGAATGACCCCAAAGCGCTATCTGAGCATTGAAGAAATGGCGAAGAGAGTGGCTTTAGGTTACTGCATTTTAAGTACCCAATCTCTTTTTCAATTGACAATTTAATTTTTCCCAGAAAAGAGGCCAGGCATTTGTGACATTACGCTTGCAGATCTGCAGCCAGCGGAGCGCCACCAAGTGGTGTCCTTATACATGCTGCCAGATGACCTCAAGAGGTTTTACCTGACCTTAGATGGGCTACTGATGTTTACCCAGCAAGATATGGGACGGAGAGGTACCCCCCCCCCCCATCTCCTATATACCCTATGCAAGCCCTAGACTATTGTTACCTATAACACATGGATCATAGATATCTCAAAAGAATTCCTGAGATTCTGGTAACACAATGACCAACACAAAAGAGGGGGGGGGGGGGTCCCTCCGTCTCATATTGCGCTACAATTTATGTACTGCTCACATGGCGTGTCAGATTTGATGGTAATTACAGCAGACAACTTCAAACAGCACTGACATAACTATGACTTGATATTTAGCTGAATCTAAAAAAAAAGGGAAGGGCTGCTTTATGCGTAATACCCAAAAGCAAGTATTTGTGCATTTCAAGTAGTCAAATATAAATAATAATACATATAATAGTTTTCGTACAGTGTAGCAACAAACCATGTTTTTGTTAGCTCCGAGCAGAATTTTATTATGCCCGTGCAAAGACAAAAAAAGCCATTAAAACATTTATTTTTAGATACGCATATGTTCCATCAACTCCAAAGACGTCAGAGGCGCCATCTTACTCCATATTGAAGTTTATCGATACTGATTCTATTTTTGATGAGCCATTTTGTGCAGCAACCGAAATGCGCTTCAAAAAGTTAGTTCATCTCTTCAATATACATGCACACGTATAGTCCTACATGTGCCACTTGCTACTATTTTAATATGACGTCTTATCATTCGAATGACTTAGATCATATCAAGAAATTATGGTAATAATATCAGTTTTTGTGCCACAATCATCGCTTTTGGGTTCATCCGATGTTGATTTAGTTTGTTTATCCGATGACTTCAAAAAAACTGCCACATCTTTAAACATACAAGCGTTTATAAGTTCAAGCTTTTCTAAATACAAGCGTTTAAGGTCTAATTTTGACAAATGACTTTAGAACTGAATTGAGTATCCTGTTCATTTTGTGAGGTGGTAGATATTGCCTTTTGCAGAGGGAACACGTATACACACTCAAATGTGTATCCTTGTGGAGACATCGCTTTGTTCTTTTTGTTTCCAAAAATGATGCGTAGGTAACAAGGACCTTGAGCTGAGTACTGAAAAACATCCTAACGAAATCAGGCCAACTTTACTCCATCTTTTGCCAGCGAAATTCTCCAAAATATTCATTGGGCAAAGAAAAGGTCCTGATTTCACCAACCAAGTTTGAAGACTCAATTTATACTTTTCTTCAATATTTTGCACATGAGGGGGAAGTCAAGTGATTTCAAAATGAGGCTAAAGACTATAGACTGGTACATGCCGAAGTCTGGTGGCTGACTAGGGAGAAATTGTGTAGAAATAGAGACCAGTACCAGACACGCCAGATGTTTCTTTTGGCACAGTTGATTGATGCAGCACTGAAGGGTTGTTGGACTGGTTGTTTCAGGTGCCAGTCTATTTTCTTGTATTGCATATTTTCAATGTCTTAAGTTTTGGGACTCTCATACAGAGTATTGAGAGTCCCCAATTTTCGGTCTACATGCTGACATGGAGCTTTGTTCACAAAGACATGATCAATGATGATATTGACCATCGCAGCATCTTACCATGGACCCTTTAGTTTCACGGATGACCGCCAGACCGGAAATGTGCAGTGAAGGTATATGTTACGTTGCACTGTGGGACACTTTGCATTGTAAAATTCCCCGTTTGTTGCGCAAACTATCCCAGGTGGGTTGCAACGCGCAGCATATCTTCACTGCACACATGGCACACTTCCGATCTATCCATAAAACTTGGTGGCTCCATGTTGACTCAATCTGCCCAGAGCCAGGCTACACAATATATTGACAATTTTTTCCCCAAAGAAACAATATTACATATAAATGTATACTCAGGCCTACTTACTTTATTTCATCTCAAGGCAAAGAAAAACAGTAGGCCTACGTGTATGTACTTCAAAATATTCATTCCTTCATTATGTTAAAACTTATGGGAAAAAAAATAATAAGATGACAATAACAATGCACGGGAAAAACGTTGCCAAGAGATGAAGGGGCACCAAATCTATAAGAAAATATGAAGACTTTTGAAACAAACTTTGAAACGTTTTCTCCATCGGATGTAACCCAGTCATAGTGTCAGAAGGCATCTAACACAGTTAGACAGTTAAATTATTGAATGACCCAAAAGCGCTATCTGAGCATTGAGG